CTTCTACAGCAGTTTTCATGTAGTTTATGGCCATTTTCTACTGGCCAGAGTGAGAGCCTATAGCTGGCTGCCACGAATAGGCAGGAAGATTCTACTGGCCAGCATGAGAGCCAACAGCTGACGAATGTTAACTAGCATACTAGCATGCAAAAAAAATTGATAGCTGCATTCGTCACAATGGGAAAAATTTAAATCTGCATGGCACTTTACTCCAATTGGCTCATTTGCTTCCTTAAACTCAATGTTGATTCTGATTCTGCAGAACTGGGTTGGGTGTGAAAAAGTATTTGTTGTTAACATTCTTTTTTCATTTGGTTTTTCCAGTTACGAATCCTTTTTTAAAGCTGATCGTTTTGTGTTCATTTTGTTTAGTTCTTTTAATGTTTAGTATAAAGCTTAGAAAAAATTTGCAGTGTGAGATAGGCAAGAAGTAAGGTATGTAGCAACATCAGCACGGTAAAGGGCACTCCTTTAAAGGCGAGGAAGGGCAAAAATATTTTAAGTCAAGTGATAGCGATTGCTGTATGAGTCGTATGATTTTTTAATCAAGCACGGGCAATGTCGGGCCATGCTGCTAGTTAATACTAAATTTTTATGACAGTTGTTGTGTTAATTTGCATGAGAATGTGTTGCTTGGTCATTAAGAAATCATTGCACACACAGATATAAATGATGATTTTCTGGGTTGGAGGGCTCTGTTAGTACTGACATTAAGGAGAACACTACTAGGATTTGAGTCTGTTTCTAGTTTGTTTTGTTGCAACCATTGTTGGAAGCATTTAATTTTCACTATGACTGTAGGCTTCAGATACAAAGACCATTTTGAAAACTCATCATGTTTGTCCTGAATTTGAATTTTCAGTTTATTCTACTCTTTCATTTATCCAAAACAAACAGCTATCTATTTTTTTTTCTTGAGCAGATTTGGTCAGCCATCTTAATTGCTTTTGACATACAGACTAAAATGAAATTTATTCAGATCATTTCCTTATTAATCATGACTTCAGTAAAACATTTGTTGCCTGAAATTCTAAGATGAAACATTGTTATTATTTCATATAAAGATATTAAAACTTGTATAAGTTCCAAATAAAAAGATTAATGTTTGCTAATGAATGCAAAGAGTGAAAATGTTTACATTTAGGAGCTTGAAAATAGATTGCCTAAGCAGACCCAGTTTAGAATTTAATGTATTCCTGACACCTGTGCTCAGCAGAGCAGAAAAAAAACAGTGTTTAGAAACTTCTGTAGCTGAAAAAGAACATTGTCAGGGTTTAATGAGAAAATTAGCAGATGTGTGCAGCTTCTATTCACTAGCTTTTTGAAAATGACTATTATTTTTTCTATTTTTTGGTCAGGTCATTACTTCTCATATATGGAACTACCTGAAAAAATAAGTGTAGGAGAATTGATACACTACTGACAACAAGGTGTGATGCCCCACATATAAAAGGATCTCTGACAGCCTTCCTAATTTGAAGGCTGAATGAATGTACTACAGTCACTTGACCAATCAGTGAGTTGGATATAATGATATACCTTTTATTTAGACCATCCCACTGATCTTTGTTATTATACTTGCAAAATCTACTCCCCAGGAAAACTAGTGGATATTAGAGAAAGTTATCTCTGTTAATATATTCAGTATATTCTAGTAATAAGAAAAAACATAAAAGTGTAGCTTAAGAAACTTTATTCAGCTTAGAATAGTCTATTACAAAAATAGATACTATTTATAGTCCTCTAAACAAAGTGAGTTCTTTAGTCAAGAGAGATAATGTCTATAGTCAAGGGAGATAATTATACAGTTACCTACCATATTTCTGTTGTGAATGGTTGTGTCTACTCATGTGTAAGGAATGCATCTTCTCTCAACAGTGTCTACAAAGAAACTGTTCTCTTTGTAAAATCAGAGCTCCCGTGATTGGTTGTTGATGGTAGCATTGCCAGCAAGTATGGTGCAAACAAGTTGAAGAAAAAGGAATGCTGTCTCAACATCATATTATTAAAATTGTCATAATTAATGCAGATTGATATACAGTTTATATTAGGACCTTAAATAAGTTCTTGCTGTTTTCTAACAGGAAGCATTCCCAGAACTGCATGCATGTAGTGTCAGATGGTAACACATCTATAAGGAAGTACTATAAGTAAGTTTGAAATTCAGTGTATGTCATTTTGCTGAAGTGTAAACAGCTTTGTTTTCATAGCGTTAAACATGTTGGATTCCAGCCAAAAAAGTGCATTTGTGGGGAATCTTGCTGCACTACTTTATTCAAAAGAAATCTGCAGCTAAAGCACAAAGAATTCTTGTTGAGACTTACAGTGACCATACCCTGTTAGAAACAACATGCAGAGATTGGCTTAGGTGCTTAAAAATTAATGATTTTGATGCTGAAGATAAAAAATGTTCTGGCACACCAAAAAAGTTTGAAGATGAAGAATTGGAGGCATTACTTCATGAAGACTCATGTCAGGTGCAAGCTGAACTTGCAGAATCATTAGGAGTTGATTACACAACAGTTTTGAAACATTTGAAAGCTTTAGGAATGATTCCAAAGCAAGACATTGAGTGCTGTACAAGTTGAAGCTGAGAGACATCGAATGGTGTCTTGTCATGTATGAACAGCTACTTCAATGGCAGAAAAAGAAAAGTTTTTTTGCATTGTATCATGACTGGCAATGAAAAGTGGATACACTACAATAACCCTAAGCATAGAAGATCATGGGGTAAGCCTGCCCATGCATCAACATCACTGGCAAAGCCAAATAACATAACCATGATTTTAAGCTTCTGCTCTGCATTTGGTGGGATCAGCTGGGTCTAGGTTATTATGAGCTACTCAACCTGACCAAAAACATCACAGGAAATTACTATCAACTACAACTGAAGACATATATATATATATATATATATATATATGTATATATATATATATATATATATATATATATATATATATATATATATATATATATATATATATATATAGTTTATGAAAAACTAGGTAATCCATATGGGTAGATCCAAGGAGGATAAAATCCAGAGAGCTCAATGTAAATCCAGAGCAAATAATTTAAATAAAAACAGACCACTTTAAGGTTCCATGTAATAAATTATTTCACCACAGCATTTTTAAGGACTGCGGATCATCAGACTTTACTTCCAAACAAAAAATGAAAAGAAAATTTACCCATTTTTGACGGGCTGTATTAAACACATGTAAATTAACGAAGTGAGGAAGTGAGGGGGAGAGAAGACATCAGTGATAAATGTATATATATATATATATATATATATATATATATATGAATTAGGATCAACAACAGATCAAATATGGAACACAATCTGTCAGAATGATAGGATAAAGACCAAATAGGAAACCTTAATCAATCTGATATATTTCAGAGAATGAGATACAGAAAAAAAAAAGAAATGTATTTTTATTTATGTTCTTTGATTTTCATACACACACTTATGGATATACATTATTGTCTGAATCCCAAATAGACAAACTAGAATTATGATAGACTTACATGCATAAAGCAATATTTACTTTTTTTTTTTTGTCAAGCTTGGAATCCATTAATTTCTCAGAGGATCGAAAGGACATGCTGTCTCTCCCTGAATTCGGAACACCATAAATTATACTAACATTTTTTAACAGCTCAAATGCATGTGAAGTCTGATTAACCAATCAAAATCAAACAACAAAAATAAATATACCAGAATTTCTTTCTTCTTTTTTCTCCATATCTCATTCTCTGATGAAGCTTTAATAACAGTGAAACATGTTAGAGTAACAAACATATCCTATTTGTTCATTATCCTATCATATATGCCTGCAATATATGTTTCCTGATCTTTAATAAAAACTGGCAAGGATACACAGCATTCAAGTCCTTTTGATAAAAATTTAAGCTTATTTAAAATATTCTCATTAAGTTTCTAAATAGATATGAACAGAGTAACTTTTGTTTTTGCTAGATAGCAGAATATGTAAGTAATTTAAATGAGATAATATGATATATGTTCAAAGAATAAACAATGATACCATTAGAGTTCTGGTAAATAATAATGGGAATCTGGTGAAAAATAGGCCCCTACTAGGTGTGTTTCAGCTCCATTGCTATAAAGACTTACTGAAATATACCTTCTGTGAAAACTTGATCATATGCCACATTTATCTAAACCAAGTGAATATGTGTATCAAGAAAGGATAACTGCTTCTAAAAAATATAATACTTGGGAAAATAAATCATTTATCTATTTCACAAACATGAATTTTCCCAAGAAAAAAACAGAAAAGAAAGTGCCATTTTCTACATAACCTAATCCTCACTCAATAAATTCTGAATAATTTGGCAATTAAGAGTCTATATTTAATTCTACAAATAATATACACACAAATATATATATGTGCATATTTGTGTGCTAATATTTATGAATATAGGTTCTATATTCATGTGCATTTACATATTTATATATATATATATATATATATATATATATATACATACATATATATATATATATATATACATACATATATATATATATATATATATATATATATATATATATATATATATATATATATATACATATATATATATGTACATGTATATATATATTATATAGATATATTAAAGAAAAACAGAAACTGATATATATATATATATATATATATATATATATATATATATATATATATATATATCCATTTTTCATGCATATGCCTATTTATACTCTTCCATTATGAGCATATATACATATACATGTGTGTGTATGGATATATATACTCTTATATAATGTGGACACGTGCACATACATATACATATATATATATATATATATATATATATATATATATATTCATATGTATATACGTATATGCATAAAACATGGGCTGATAAAAAAATAGTGAGATAGAAACAAAGAAATAAAGATAAAGACAGGCAAATATAAACCATGATATAGACACAAGATTCTAAAGTACAAATTGATGAAGATAGATAGACAGACAAACATAGATAGATAAACAGATAGATATATTGATATGAGCAGTGATAAAGACATAAGATTCTGTATACATACATACATACATACATACATACATATATATATGTATGTATGTATGAAGATAGATATGATAAGTGTTATAGACATGAGATTCTACAGTACAATTTGGCAAAATAAATAGATAGATAGATAGATAGATACATAAATAGATAGATAGATATCAGCAGTGATATAGACATAAGATTCTGCATACATACATACATACATACATACATGCATACATAAATAGATACATACATACATATATATATATGTATGTATGTATGAAGATAGATAGATGTGAGAAGTGTTATAGACATGAGATTCTACAGTACAATTTGGCAAAATAAATAGATAGATAGATAGATAGATAGATAGATAGATAGATAGATATGACCTGTGATATAGACATGTGATTCTACAGTACAAATTGATGAAGATAGATAGATAGATAGATAGATAGATAGATAGATAGATAGATAGATAGATGAATTACACTTTTATAAAGAATAAATTAAATTCTTTTCTCTGGTAATAAAGAAAATACTTGTTGCCTTTCAGCCATTTCCAATGTTGTCATTCAATCGTCTTACTTTTCTTCCACTTAGCTCTGTATAGTCTTAGTAAGTCTTTTTTCCCCCCATCAGATTAAATCCTGATAAAAATGAAATTTTCCAATTTGAAATATCCACTCAATATTGCTACAATTCTTTATTAAGTTTGCTCTTCTCTTATCACATGTCTAGCAGACACCTTTATTATCTTCTCAAAAGAAAGATGCAAAGCATTCAATTTCTCTTCAGTTTAGTCTTTTTAACATTTATGTCTTGTCTCTGAAGCTCCAGCCAAAAGAGCATTTGCATTGTGAATATTATGCTGAAGTTGCACAGATACAAAATATTCAGCAGTGGTATTGATAAGCAAAAAAATACATTAATTTATTAATTAGCTTAGATAAAAATGCTTGGTTTTCTCTTCCTAAAATAAATTTTTCATTCCCTGGATATAGTTTTCAATGACAAAAGTAGTGAAAATCTGCAAAAACTTTATATATAGATACAATAAGATAATACTAGGATGTGCAGTTAGCATAATAGTTAGCAACTTGGAATGAGAAATTTTCAAAGGGGTGAGTCTAGAATTGATGTGTTTCTCATGTTGGTTGGCAGAGGTCACTGGTGGTGATGTTGACAGCTGGGTTGATAACTGCTCCATACCTCCAAAGCATATAAATACGAGGTACTAAGAAAAATCAAAAGTAAAATAATATTCAGCATTTTATTAAAATGAACAATGTTATAAATGCATGTATGGTAGCATGAGAGAACAAACAAAACAGTAAGCACCACTGGTGTGGTGAGGTGAAGCAAAAAGAAGACTAGAATTGTTAAGATAAAATTTTTGTATTGCCATTACAGATGATATAAGCAGAATGTCTCTGTGTGAACAAGCAAAGTGACTTGGAGAAAGGGGAGGGTCAGTAAAGCCTGGAGTTGATGCATGAGGCAGGTCAGTTGACAGAGTTTACTGGTGGTGACATTGAAAAATGGCTTTGTACCTCAAAGAGCTCTCAAGCATATAAATATGAGGTACTAAGAGAAATAAAATGGAGGAGTGCAAAATGACATTTGGAATTTTATTAACATGAAGATGTTTGCATGGTCGTATGAGAGAACAAACAAAAGAGCAAGTACCACTCATGAGATGAGACAAAAAGAAGACAAGAATAGTTAAGATCAATTTTTTGTATTGCCAATATGGTAGATATGAGCAGAATGTTTTTTTTTTGTAAGCAAGAGAAGTGATTTGGAGAAAGGGGAGAGTCAGTAGAGTCTGGACTTAATGCATGTCTCAGCTCCTGTTGACAAAGATCACTGGCAGTGACATTGACAACTGGGTTGAATAATGGCACCATACCTCAAAGAGATCCCAAACATATGAGGTATGAAGAAAAATAAAAAAAGTGGGGTGCAAAATAATGTTCACCATTTTAATAAGAATGTAAGAGAATAGTACTTACAAAAACTAGTTATAATTATTGTTGTGTCGGAAACCTACCACCTCTCTTGAAGATGAACTTGTCTGCGAACAAAGACTTTAAATAGTGGCATGTCAAAAGACAGACAGAGAAGTTCTTAGCTGAGCTAGTTATTGACTACTCAGGTGATTTCTGTACCTATTTACCAACCTATTAAAACCCTTTTTATTGTTACGTGTTATTTGGCGTTTGTCTCTACTAACCCCAAATCAACATCATAACAATTATTCAAAAAGATTTCTACCTGTAAGTCAAGGGGCGGATGCTGATTACTATATAAGAATATCTTTTCTTCCTCATTGTATAATTCTAATTCAACAAAGGTATGTGTCTAGATGTTGGTTATGACACATCTGATATCTACCATGACTAAATCTCTAACTAATTCACTAGTGTGCCAAGAGCAATAACACACCTAGGTCCTCTGATCACTAGGAGAAGGGTTGTATATAAATCCTTACAGAGTTTAAGAGGAGGAGCAGGTAAGAAGTAAGGCTTATGAGGTTATACAGGAAATATAACAGTTAAATTTGAAGAGGTTAATATTGTAGTGATCCATGAAGTATCCTATCAGGATATCAGTTCCATAAAATAACAGTTCTTTGGAAAAAGTTGTTCAAATAGAACTTCTTTCTTACTAATAGAATACAATGGGATTAATTCATCCCTGAGTCTTAGCTGTGAAGGTCAGAGCTGGTGGAACTAATGAATGTATTACATCAGAACATTTGCCATGGAAATAGCTAGAGAGGAGCAAGATCCTTGCAATGTTTTGTCTGTGGGAAGAGCTTGCAGAATAAAAAATAATTCATCAACCACAAGGATACAAAGATACTTCTGAACTCTTAAGACTCTTAAGCGAGGGCTGATAAGCTTGAGCCTAGAGTTTTAGGCCTGATCTGACACTTGTAAAGACAGAGCATAGCAGTTTGTTATATTCATTTTTGCACCAATAGTTTTGAGAAATGAATGAATCTATTTATTCTCCACCCTACAGCTATGATTCTCAAGATGTGGTTGACAACCAGTCTAGGAGAAAGACATTTCATAATTTAAAACCATATATAGCCCTTCCAAGGCACATTCCATACAACCATTGAAAAGATTATGGCATATATAATTCACTATGTTTTTGGGTTGTGGATTCTATAATCCGAAATTTCATCAAAGTAGTAGGCAGTGGAAGAAAATAGCTTCAATAAAATAAACCCTATAAATCTTAAAGAAAATGATCTTTATCAGACTCTATAGACTGATGCTACAAGATCAAAAGGAACTTTATCAAATAATAAAAACCACGTCGCTTTAAAACTTCCAATGAATGAAACCATAAAAATTGGTAGCAGATTGTTATAACTCACTCTCATAGCGGTTATATTATGTCTTACTTAGACTACTCACCATGATATCACTAGCAATTTTCCTCAACTGATTCCAACATACTTCTGACTCACTTTTAATTCTTTATTTAAGGTATCTTGCCTAGTTCATTTCTGTTGCCAGGCATGTCTTATTTACTCCATAACATACTCCTTTCAAGATTTATTTTTTTACTAGTAAATATTTTATTTTATCTCTTAGTATTCACCCTCTCTTCTTTCTGGTGAGTTTGCCACATACTGAACTTTGTATTTCTTTCATTTTGTGTCAACCTCTAGTTTTTTTGTATGTTTCTTTTCTGGTAATTATACTTGTATGATCAATGATGTCTTGGGCTGTTGGTACACCAAAAGTTCTTGCAGACTGTTTATCAGCAAACCTTTTTTTTAACTGGTTCCAGTGCCTTTTTTTTACCCATTTTTTCCCTTGCTTGATTTGGCTGACGACCATTCTTGTAAATGATTTGTCCTAGGTAGTTGATTTTAAGCAAAAATAATTCACACTTTTTGTCATTGAGTTTGAACACATTCTCTCATATTTTTTCAAAAACTCTTTTCACATGCTCGATATGTTGTTCCTTAGATACACTTTTAATCAATGTATCATCCAGATATCAACTCCAAAATCACAATCTGCAAACATAGTACTATAGCTTGTTGAAATATAGCTGGGGTCATTTTTATCCCAAAAGGAAGTTGGGTGAATTTATGCAATCATTGTTTGTATTTATAGTTATTAACTCTGAACGTTCTTAAACCTTTATTTGTAAATACACTTCAGAAAGATACAACTTTGAAAAATTTCCACAGTTTAAATTTGAAAAAAAATTCTTCTGTACTTGGTAATGCTTACTTATGGGATTCTACACATTTGTTTAACTCTGTCAAAATATCAACACAAAGACCAATTTTAATATTTTTTTCTTTACATGCACAAATGGTGCTACCCATTTTGAATTGCCAATATTTTCATTTACACCTATTTTTAAAAGTCTCTCGAATTCTTCATTGACTTGATCCAATGCTGCAAATGGTACCCTACATTTCAGATTAAACACTGGCATTGGTCCTTTTTTCACTTAAAATTTCACTTTGACTTTGTGACACTGACCCAATTCATCTAACATGACATCTGGAAAAGATTTCTTCAATTTTTCCTTTAAATTTTCACCTTGTTTTTTTTTTAACTGATAGCTTCTTCACTTAAAATTTTGCAATAAAAATTTAATTAACTCAAATATATTCCATCCATTTTTTAACACATAAGCCTTACCTTTTACACACTTGTTATGAAATGAAATGTTACAAGTCATTTTACCAAAAAAAATAATTTCTTACCTGACATACCACGTGTGATTTTCAAAGTTCTTTTTAATATAGGTTTTCCATTTGATTTTCATGTGGCTTCATTGATTATTGTGATATCACTACCAGTGTATAGTTGCATTTTTATATCAACATTAATTTTCACATACACAAATTTTATTTGGTTTCTGCAATTATTTTTTCAGTCGCAACGAATCTGTAGCAATGTCTGTAATTAACGCAGTCTTTATCTGGTCAATGTCAATTTTGCCTTGTCAACCAGTTGTTGGTAAACT